AAAAAAAACAAGCGATATGAAAACGTACAGCATCCTCGAATTTGTCGCCAAGACACGAAAATCCGCCACCAAGAGTGCTCAACCAGGACATGACTTCCTGAAGAATTATGTGTTTGTAAAGAAGACGGGCAACTACATAGTACCTAAGGAAATTGATTTGTGTTATTTTTATACTAATAGTCGTACCCTGATTTGTGTATTTCGAACGTGTTGAAAGGCGGAGAAAAGAATATGTAGACATCTCCGGAGTCTTCCTGTACTCCTTGAAGAGCATCCTTCGACCACTTATGAACACATTCGATTACGTTGTTGAAAGCTTTTCCCCGCAGCATAATGATATAGAGATTTGAGGGAGGGAGTGAAAATGTTGAGGAACAGGATTCACATAACAGGAGGGAAGGCCGTAAATTAGGAAATATGAGGGCCGAAAGTGTGCAACTGGTGGGGTAAAGTCCTGTTAGTTCCATGCGAATAAGGCGACGGAGGAGATGCCGACACGGCAATATAAAGATCTCTTGGGGATCTTCGGAGAGGGAGGGATCAAAGAGTACTGCCGGCAAGGGATTAAGATCGCTGGGTAATAGGGGAGTAGATGTCAGGTCTGGCGTACACAAGTTCATCTTGTGACTGGCTGGATGACGAATAGCAATACACCAATTGAAGCCAAGCCAACCACGGGAAATCTAGGAATAACCTAGAAGGAAAAAAAGAGATTTTATCACACAGGTTGCATTGGGGAACCAACAACATAAGGATGATTCACTAAATGTCCATCTTCTGCAGAATGGTAGAGCATTTGGTGCGGTCGAATTTGCTGCGACTAACTACAAATCCTCAAGAAGGTGGCAGGAACAGAAATATCTGATGTAAAATAGGATCAGCAAAACGGGGGCGACGGAATTCAAACTTTGGGTTTATCGAACCTTTTAAATACTTAAATTGACTCAGAACTCATCAAAACTGATTTATTCAGCTTCAGTGTGTATGGTATTGGTGGCGGGTGGTGATTGTCGTGATTGGGATATAGTCGAGTTATTCAGTACGCAATAGCCGAACAG